GACACCTCATTCCCATCTGAGACTCGAAAGTCTGGCCTCATTTTCTGTGCTTTCAGTAATCTGGAGTTTCTCCAGCTTACACCTCCAAAGTCTTCCAAATTCACTCAGCAAGCTAGTTCTGGGGTTTTTTGAGCAGCGGAACCAAGGTTACTCAGAGCAGTAACCCACTGACTTCCCGTCTCAGTGCTCTGCACTGCAGCTTTTCAACTCCGTGACCGAAGTGCCTGAAACACACTGAGTGAACAGATGAAGGGTCTAATCGGGCTCACTGATCTGAGGATTCAGTACGGGTTGCTGGGCTCCGTGTGCTTGGACAGAACTTGATAACCGTGGCCTTGCAGGAAGAGGGCATTTTGTGTATGTTCTTGCACTGTGACTTGGGTTCCTGTTCATTGTTGTGATAAAAATATGTTGACAAAAGCAACTGAAGGAGAAAGGGTTTACTATACATCACAGGTCAAGGTTCTAATCAAGACGTGGAAGTCACAGAGGCAGGAGCTTATGTTAGGCGGTCACATTGAACCCACAGTCAACAAGCAAAGAACAATGAAGGCACAGTACCTATGGCTCAGATCCCTTTCTCTGCTTCTACAATCCAGGATCGTGGCTAGGGGTCGGTATCACCCACTCACCATGGGTGAGGAAGACATGGCAGTAGGCAAGGAAGACATGGTGGAAAGGGATGGGAGGCTGACTAGCCACATCTCACCTCTAGCTAGCAGACAATGAACAGGAGAGAGGGTCAGGCTACATCTCAAGGGCTGTCCCCAGTGACCTACTTCCTCAAGTAGGCTCAGCCACGTAAAGGTTCCAACTTCCCCAAACAGCGCCACCCACTGGGGATCAAATGTTCAAACCTAGGAGTCTAGGGAACATTTCACATTCAAAGTACAACAGTCAGGAAGTCAAAAGCAGGACAAGAAGGGGCCAGAGGCAACATAGCCTCAACAGCCACCCTTGCCTCCTCCCAGTGACCCAGTGCTAGGCTGCACCTCCTGAAATTATCTCAGCTTCTCAATACACTGTCACCAGCTGATGTCAAGCCCTAACACAAGAACTTTCAGAGGGACAGTTCTTGTCCAGACCATAACACAACACTTCCCATTCTCCCTCAAACCTTAGCAAAACAAAACAAAAAAAACCCAGAGCTTCCCCTGAGCCACTGGGCTATTTCTAAAGGCTCCCGTGTCTCATAACACTTTGATTAAGTAAATTTGCCACTTTCCCCTCTTGTCAATTGTCTTCTATGAGTGCAGTATCGGCCATTATTCTGTGATGACTGGGGAAGGGCCTCTCATCGTCCTACCCCTAGTATTCTGGATGTAGACTCAGAAGAGGCGAAGCTATGGCGTCTGCTTTTGTCTTTGTTGCTCATTTCTTTGTTTACAGAGATCAGTAGCAACTTTCCAGTTGCTAAAGTACTGCGTGTGATTCCTCCATGACACCAGCTTCTCTTTAGCTTGCTTGGTGGCAGCTTATGGTTTGGAAAGGACACAGCTGGGAGGGAGATCAGAGGGGGCCACGCTGTCCAGGGAGCCTGGCAGGGGGGCAGCTCATTAGTAGGACAGAAAGCAGCTGGAGGGGGCAGGCTATCATCAGGAAAGAAAGAATCCCAAAGGTACTGGGGTCAGAACAGCCAGCATGGGCAGCACCCCTTCAGTTCAGGAACCTAACATGCTGATTGCCCCAGCGTCTGCCTGGCTCCTGTGCCGATGTCAGTACCACCGTCTATAAGCCAGGGCCAACAGCAGCTAACAGCTCTGCAGGGAGCTCTCGGGACACCAGAAAAGAAAGGACGCTCACAATCCGGGCACACCACGCAGCCCACAGCTGGGCTGCTGACTTCCTCTGGGACAAAGCCTCAGGCAAAGGGTTTTGCCTTCCCAGACTCAGCTGCAGAATGAAGGCAATGGCTCTGAGTAGCCAGGCGGGGACCTTCAGCCACCGGGCTGGTGCTCCAGAGAGACAATATGCCTCCGAAATGCATTATCACTGCGCTGGCCAGATAAGCACAGGAAAAGCTTTGAAACCATCTCCCTGTGGACCTCTGTCAGAAGTCCTAGATTCGTCATGGAAGATTTGGATTGAAAAGCAATTGCCTGCCCCCCGGGTGCCGTACTTCAATAGGAAAAGCAGTTCGGGGTAGCCCTGTCCAGCGGAGCCTTGCAACGCTAAACACACCTGGGGCTGCAAAGCAAAGAAACATTTTGCCTCAAGATAAACACATCGTCCCCCAGACTTCAATAGCCCTGAAAAGCAAGACAGGAGGCCAAAACCACCTTCCCCAGGAGACCCCCAACTATCACACCTCTGAGCTTCAGGGGTCTAAAATCTTCCAACAAACACAAGTCTTCCCTGTTTCTCCTTAGGCCTTACTCTCATTCACTGCTCACGCCCTCCTCCTGACGATGGGAGCAAAGTAGATTATCAAAAGGGGTTTGGTTTGGAGTGTTGTGGCCTCCTGAGAGCCAGGGATGCGAAAATTAACACTGCTATGTTTAGGTGGAAGGCTCACCTTAGCTCCAGCACCACCTCTCTCTCTCCTGATCCTGCCTCCAGAAAGCCTGCCAAGCAGAGGTAGAGGCTCCTCCCCCTGAGAATCTTGGGACCACACCTACAGGATATTTAAGACTGGCCCCTAAACCTGTCATGTGATTTCTCTCCTGCCAGCCCCTGAGAGTCACCTGGGAGATGCTGTGCTCTGTTTATTAAACCTGGTTTTATTAATTCGGCTGGATTTGGTTTATTGCATTGGCAGAGAAACCCACAACTGGGGATTTTCAAAATGCTTATCTGCTGGGTTTCACCATGTGCACAGACACTACAGCTCACGAGGCCAAAGAGACGGCCTCATGTGAGGTAGCATGCTCTGCTCATGCTACCCTCGCCAGGACAGGCCAGGGCCTCTGAAATAGTGAGCCGAAGACATTCTCTCCTCTCTTGCTTCTGTCACGGTAACAAGAAAGGTAACTGATGCCACAAAGTCTTAGTTCTGATTATTCTTTCTTCACTTTTATGGCCATTGTTATTTTTGTGTCTGAGTATCTATGTGCAGGTATGTGTATATGAGTTTGTATGTAAGTTCATGTGTGTACAGAAGGGTGTGCATAGGTGTTGTTGTGCACAGAGAGACCATTCATATTTGTGTATGTGCATATGGAAGCCAGAAGTCAATTCAGGTATCGATCTTCCTTGTTTTTTGAGACAGGGTCTCTCATTTCCCTGAGGCTCACCGATTTGGAAAGGCAGGAGAACTCAGGGGTCCTCCTGAGTTCCAAGAGTTGGGATTACAAGTTTACACTGCCTTGCCAGGCCTTCTATGTGGGTGCTGGGCATTTAACTCAAGTGCTCTTGCTTACACAGCAAGCTCTCTGCCCGCTGAGCCCACGCTGTTGCTGGTGTTATATCAGTGGATAAAGAGATGAAGTCTCCCAGCAGCAGAAACAGAACCGGAGCAGAGACCCCAAGCTGAGGCCTCTCCTCCTCTGACCACTCTGAGTCTTGAGCTAAGACCACCTGTTCTCATATTCAGTCCTGATTCTTAGCAGGAAGACAATGTCACAGCTTCCCCAAGGGGACAATGTTCCTGGGCTACCTCAGTGCACACCTGAGACCACAGACAGCATCAAACCCAAAGACAACAATGTTTCATATGTAGACCTGTCTGTGACAAAGCTTGACTTATAAATTAGACATGGTCAGAGATTAACAGCAGCACACTCTTTAAAATAAAACAACTATAACAAAATGCTGTCCTCTCACCCTAAAGAGGCTCTGCTGGCCTCAGGCTCCTGGGATAGACTCATGACTTACGATGGCCCATGCCTTCCTAGTGCGATGTTGGCTCCCTGAGAAGTTGTTAAGTATTTAGCAAACGCTGCTTCTATTCCGGAGAGAACACTGGGTAGCACAGGGGCTCTACTTCAAGCCTACCCAGCTGAGGGACCCAGAGTGACTGGGACACTACTCATCTCTCCATGGGGACATGTGTTCAAATACAGGACCAGGGTCAGCCCTCAGACACTGCAGACACAGCGGCCGGATGTTACCCTAAGCACAGGGCACAGGTCTGTAATGTAACGGCGCTGGTCCTAATGGGGGCAGGAGGCTCCGTGGATTGGCTGGGATGATCTCCCCACCCACCCTCCCATCTTGCTGAGACCTGGCAAAGACAAAGGAAGGGGTGCAATGAGGGTTTAAGGTCAAAGTGAGAGAGCATGAGCCAGGCATCAGCTTTAGTCAGCTTCCTCCTTACAGAACCTATGGGAAGGGTACCCGGAAGCCACCAAACGAGCTCAGGAGCCTCAGAGGGGAGGAAGGCAGGTAACTAGGGAGCCACTCTGGACTCAGGGCAGGAGGGGGATGGAAAGTTGGGGAAACGGGGTGTGAGGGAGCCTTCCCCACTTGTCAGGGTCAGCCTCTGACTTAAAAGATTAAGTAAAATCACGTTCTAACGGAAACAAACACATCAGGCCAAACAACAGGGCTCTCTGCTCTTGGTTTTGCTTTGACTTCATGCAAACAGGAACCACAAACATTCATCATGATCTGTTTTTGGTGAACATGACAACATGTATACATTAGAATACATGTATACATTAGAATGTTTGAATTCCTAAATGATATATTGTAATCTATAGGCTCTAGAGATACAATGAAACATATGATGTATAATACACGTTCTACATATCAACCTATATTATATATGATTGATAGTGTATACTATATATTATTCTATATTAATTACCTTATTCTATAATGAATTAAAACAATGGGGACATCTAAACTGAAAAAAAGCTAATGTTCCAAGCTTTTCTCTTTGCTCTTCTATGTTTTAAGCTTCAAAAAGTTATATACTATTTTGTTATCATATTCTAGAGTTATATAAACTTTGGGAACTTTATGAGGGTCTATAGCCCCCCCCCCCCGGTTCTGTTTGTTCTTATCCCCAAGCTCCACACAAGGGACCCCTGACAAAGCCACGCCCACACAGGACAAACCTCCTTCTGTTGGCCTCCAGCACCGTGTGGTAAAGGGGCTGAGTGAGTGTTCCTCTCACAGGACTCTTGCGAGGGGGTTTTCTCCTCTTCGGGGTGGGGTCTTGGGTGGACAGCCAGGGAGGCTGTCCAGGTGGCCTCTCCTACGCTGTCCACCTGCTTCTCATCTTCTGCATGCGGACCACTGCCTGCTTCCTGGAGCCACAGGCTCTGCACCAGAAGCTGACAGGCCTCCAAGTCGGCTTCCCACACTCTAGCAAGCAGCGGGCACCTGCAGCTAAGACAGAAGGAAGCAGACATGGAAATTAGCTCCGTGATTGGTTCATGCTTCCCATCTCCCACTCCAGAACACTTTACAGAAAAAAAAAAATCAACCTGGGGACATAGAGGGACCACAATCTCTCCCTAGCTTGGTGACATTCAGGTGGGTCCTTCTTAGGTTTGGGCTTCCAAGAACAGCCACCCTGTATGGCACACCTGTTGGATCTCTTTGAGTCAACAAAGCCGCCCAGCTCTGCCTACCCACAGGCTTCTGCAGGTGCTGGTTCACTACCTGGAATGTCACCCCACTAGCAAATCCTCATCCACTGACACACAGATAACCTGGACCCCGGTCAGTAGGGGCCAATGCCGCCTGCCACCTGCCATCCCACCCCACCCAGCAGCACACACTCACTCATGCTCCCCTCACAGAATCACAGTGTGTGCGACTCAGCTTACACAGCCTGTGTTTGGGGGAAGCCCCGCACCCCCGTCCTGGGAGGTGGAGACTGGAGCATCTCTGGGGTTTCCCGAGCAGTGACTCTCATGGGAATGGCAAGCCCCAAGTCCAGCGAATGACCCTGTCTCAAAAATAAGCGGAGAGAAATAAAATACCTATTGTCAATTTGCATGCGGCGCATGTCCGCACATGCGCGCAGTGCAAACCAAATCTATGGCATCAGAAGTCAAACTAGGAGAAAACTTTGGGAGAAGGAGGTCATCACAAGGAGAGCACTGGGGGCTCTGGGTGCTGGTGGTCCCGCCAGTGCCGTGTTGTATGAAATCTCATCAAGTAGGACACGTGATACCTGCTCATTCGTGTTCCGTGCTAACCCAAAGTAACAAAAAGGAGATGGTAGTTTTCTGTGCTAGGCCCCGCCCCGTGCAGGAGGGAGGAGGGATCTGGGGTGGGACAGTCCTTAGCAAGCCTGGGCCTGGTCAGCTCCCTGGCTCCTCATTCTAGCCAATTCGATAGATAGAAGGTGGTGCCTTGGGGTCTGGATTTGCATCACCCCAGACAACCTCTGTAGGTGCCCACTGCCTGCCCGCTCTTTTCTCGAGTCCCACTCTGTTCCCGAGACACTTGATGGAGACATTTCATTACTAGTCAATTGCTGGCAGTCTTATCATCAACTCAACTTTCCCATTTCTTTTTAAAGATTAACTTTTATGTGTCTATGTGCCCTTGAGGGCAGGGGCCTGTAGAGGGCAGAAGAGGGCCCTGGGGCCCTGGAACCGGAGTCACAGGCAGTGTGAGCCTCCTGACATGGGTGCCGGGAACTAAACTTGGGTCCTGTCTAAGAACAAGTGCTCTTAACTGCTGAACCATCTCTCCAGGGCAAGCTTTCCATTTCTTTGTGCCTGTTTTCATATTTTCTATCCTGGGTGGAAATTAGTCCCATTTTTGTATAGAATTGAAATGCAGTGTTATATGCTTGTTCATATTTTTAAGAGTTTTTAGTGTGTGTGTGTGTGTGTGTGTGTGTGTGTACACATGCACATGTGTGCTATGATGCATGTGTGGATGTCAGAAGAATGATTTGGGAGTTGATTCTCTACTATGGGTTCAGGGGATAAAACTCAGGTTGCCAGACTTACAAGGCAAGCACTGTGACCCACTGAGCCATCTCTCAGCCCATTGTTCATAATTTAAAAAAAAAAAACACTTTAAAATCATTTATTCTTGAAGTCACCTCTCCTTTCTGTACTGTGTGGGATATTTTTGACTTTGTCCAGTCTTATTGGAAGCTTGCTATTTGCGTTGGTTTGAATGAGAATGTCCCCAGTAGAATCATATGTTGAAATGTTTGGTCCCCAGTTGGTAAAACTAGAAAGAATTGGAGGTGTGGTCTTGTCAGAGGAAGGGTGTCACTGGGGACGGGCTTTGCGGTTTCAAAAGCCCATGACATTTCAAGTGAGTGCTCGCGCTCTCTCTCCTCTCCTCTCCTCTCCTCTCCTCTCCTCTCCTCTCCTCCCTTCTCCTCTCCTCTCCTCCTCCTCTCTCTCTCTCTCTCTCTCTCTCTCTCTCTCTCTCTCTCTCTCTCTCTCTCATCAGATGTGAGCTCCCAGCTGTTCTCCAGCCCCAGGCCTCCCTGCCTGCCGCCATGCTTCCTGCCTTGATGGCCGTGGACTCACCTCTGAAACTGTAAGTCAATAAAACCTTTCTTCGATGTGTCGCTTTGGTCATGGTGTCTTTCCACAGCAACAGAGCAGTAACTAAGACCCTGTTTTATTAGTTGTTTGAAGACATTCCCTTTGCATCATCAATCCTGGGCATTGATTTTCAGTCTCGCCTCCATCGGCTTCTGGTCCTATCTTTACATCTCTTTCGTCCTTCTGTGGATTTATTATCTTACCCTTTATTGCTTCTCTTGAGCCTCTGCCTCATTTTTCTCTTTCTGACCTTTCTTCTACTCTTGCTCTCTTAATCTTCTAATTTAGGTTCTTAAGAGTTTATATTTTTGTCTGAGCAATTCTCTAACCATATCCATCCCATATTTGTACATTTAAATCTTCAAGTATTAAATACTTTAAAATATACCAAAAAAAGCTGGAAATGAATTTCAAAACCCTATGTGCTTGCTATCGGACTTGGTGATCTTTAATATTTCTTAGGCTGGCACGAGACTAATTTCCAGAATTGATAACTTTATCCTCCAGCAGACTTAATATAGAGTCTCTGTCTTCCTTCTTCCCTGCCTATTTAAATTGAAGGTATTTACTAGCGTGCTTTCCAGCTTGGGGCCCAATGCAGTGATAGCTTCTCTGTGGCTCCTGGGCCCTATGAGCCAGTGGGATCATGGGATAGGGCCGGTGGGAATCATGGGATAGGGCCAGTAGGAATCATGGGGTAAGCTGCAGGTCTCTTTTGGCTCCCAAGGAAAGAAGTCAACAATTCCCCTTGTTAACTCCTGTAATGCCACGATGATTGATGAATGTGGTGTGTCTCCTGCTTGAATATGGGACTGGCCCCGAGCTCTCTCTAGAACACACTAGCCAAAGTCTAGGTGCCAGTTTCAGAGGTGCAAGTCATGCGGTAATTCAAATATATGGCCGTGAGACGGCACTGTCCCTTGTAGGCCACGTGATAATTTCTTCAAGGGCTGGGTTTCTGAGGCATCTGCTCCTTGCATCTGTTTGTACTAAAGGGAGTCATGGTTGGTGTGGAAGTGGTGAGATGCCTGCTCTTCTTGCCCAGGAAAGAAATTGGGTCATTTACAAAAACTGCTTTACCAATGAATGGCTCTGAGCCACCCAGCTGCCTGAGAGCAGGGATGATGTTTTGAGCAGTAACGAGGTGGCTTAGAGGCCTGAACCTTAGTGCCTGCTCTGGGTAGAGACCTGAGACCCAGCCCTGCTCTTCCTTTCTCAAAAGCTGAAGGAGGCCTAACAAATCAATCAACCACAACCATGCCCTACTCCTAGGGGGACTGAGAGTGGTCATGCTTTGTTGGGGATGGTGATGGCATGCAGGGATGGGGGGGGGTCGCCTGCCTCTCTACTGAGGAAGTAGAACATCCCGGTCATAGTGGCTCATGGGTGTAACCCCAGTACTTGTGAGGCTGAGGCAGAAGGATTATAGTGAGTTCAACTCCAGCCTTGATTACATAATGATTTCTGGACTACCCTGGGCTAGAGTGAGATGCTGTCTCAAACAAAAACAAAAACTGGGGACCCTGAGTTCTAGCACAGATGTCTGTAATCTTGTCACTAACCCACCTCTCCTGATTGACTCTCATTTAAAGGAACAGAACAGTTTCTCTGGAAACTTTGAAAACCATCAGTGTTATCAAAGTAAATCTGCTGGCCTGGCCTGTCACCTGGGTACCCTATCCCTTTAAGAGACAAGCCCTGCCCACTCCCAATCTCCTGCTTCAGGTGAAGGCAAACACATCTCCTGCCTCCTCTCCAGTTCTCTCTCTCAGTTCAGCCTTCCTCTGGAGTAGCAGCTTCTGCCTTGCTCCCTTTCCTCCTCCCCTCCCCACTTCTTTCTTTTCTTTCTCTCTCTTCTTCCCCCCCCCCAATAAACTCTACACCCAAGCTCTCTCTGCATGGCGTATCTGTCTATCTCCCACCCTTCAGGGGACCCAGGCAGCCTTGGGTCACCAGCGACATGAATAATAACAATCAGGTCCTTTTACAGACCCATAATAGAGGAAAACATTCACCCAGAGAGAAGGGTGATGGCTCTAAACTCTCAACAGAAGCCACTGATGCCTGGGTCTGTATTCTTTCTACTCCCTGGGCAACCTAGTCTCCAATAGAGAGAAAATGCCACTACTATAAATGTTTAAGTTTTATTCTTTGATTTATTTTTTATTAATTAAATTTTTTTAAAATTTATGTGTATGGGTGTTTTGTCCGCATGCATATTTGTGAACCATGTGTATGCTTGGTGTCTGCAATGGCTCCAGAAGGACATCCAAGCCCCTGGACTGAGTCACAGAGAGTAGTGAGCTGCCTAGTCGGTGCTGGGAACTGACCCTGGACCATCTGCAAACACAGTCAGTGCTCTTAATCACTGAGCCATCTCTCTGGCCTGTCCTTTAATTCCTAAGGAAGACACTTAATCTTATTTTACTTTGTGTGTATCTGTACACACATGTAGAGGCCAGAGATCAACCTCCAGTGCCTTCCTCAGTCACTGTCCACCTTGGTTTTTAAAGGGTCTCTCACTGAACCTGGAGTTTGCCGATTCAGCTATGATGATTGGCTGGCAAGTCCCAGGGATCTGCCCTTCTCTGCCTTTCCAGTGCTGAGATTTCCAGCATGTACCGAGCCTACAGGATGAAACTGCTTACACTCAAGGCTGCTCTTCTCCTCTCTAGAAACACCCTCACAGATATGCCTACAGGTATAGGTGGAGTTTTCCTGTCCTAACTGCCTGCTCCCTAATAACCTGCAGCTGCTTCCCAAATAAATGACTCGGAGACTTAATACAAAATATAGCTGTTTGGCCAATAGCTCAGGCTTATTACTAACTAGATCTTACAGCTAAATTCATTTCTATTAATC